ACAGAATGTAACACTAAACTGACATGTGAGATGTGCTGACTCTTAAAACTTGAATGCACGGTAGACATTGCGTTCAGGCGTTCGCCAGACCTGCTTCCAGCGACCCGTTGCAAATGCATCTACCGCGTGAGCTTTTGGGACTGAGGTCTTTTGCTGTAGGCATTGACAGAGGAAAGTGAGAAGAGGCAATAGCAAGAGGGGGTGATAACAGAACGAGAAAGGGGGGAGGATGCGGCGAAGGGGGCGAGGTATCAAGAGGCCCTGAGATCCGGCGCTGCACAAAAATGGCGACATCGGAAAAAAACACGCCTGGAGCCCCGGACCCCATCAATCTGCCTCATCTTTCGAGCTGGGTCGATCCTTGAGGGTCCCGGGGCCCGAGCTCGAGCGACGACGCCGGTGGTAAAACATTGCAGCTCGAGGACCTCAGGGGGGGACGGGAGAGAGAGAGAGAGAGAGAGAGAGAGAGAGACGGCCAGGGCGATGATCCGCCGTGCCGGCGGCGGTGCGGCAAGCCGCGCATGCGCCGATGCCCTCACGGCCGGGGCACGCAGCGCCACGACGGGAGACGCGGAGCGACGGCGCGCCGGATCGCTCGGCCCCGCGGGGCGGGGAGGCGTGGCCCGGGCGGCGGGGCTCGAGGGACGGCGGGGCGCCGGGACAGCGGTCGGGGACTTTGGCTTCTAGCGTGAAGTCGGGCGTGTCCCTCTACAGGTGAATTACATGAAAGAATAGTCTGGGGACGATTTTTCGAGTATTCATGGCTATTCTTGTACATGTGTTGACTACTCCTCATTTCTCCTCCGGAATCCCCCTGTGGGAGGACGTGCCCGACCTGATTCCGGCGTGTCGCGCTGCCGCTTCTGGCCCACTTCGCTTCGGCGCGACACGCCAACCACTGCCCAGTCCCCGAGAGCGGCCACGCCCCGAGCCTCTCGAGACCTCCCGCCCCCGCGGATGGGAGCGACACGCTGCGTGAGCCTGTCGCCGGGGCCGCCGCCGACGACACGCTTCGCAGAAGTTCCTCCTCCTCCTCCTCCTCCTCCTCCTCCTCCTCCTCCTCCTCCACCTCCTCCTCCCCCTCCCCCTCCTCCTCCTCCTGCTCCTCCGTCTCCTCCTCCCCCTCCCCCTCCCCCTCCTCCCCCTCCTCCTCGTGGCCGCAAGCTGTAGCGCGCCCCGCACGGATCGCTCTGCGGTGCCCCGCGGCGCCGCAGTGCCTCCGCCCCCCGCGGGTGCGCGGGCGGGCACGGCACGGCACCGCCACCCCCACCGGGCTCCAGGCTCAAAGCCGTTTCCGCGGCGGCGGGGCAGCCGAGCGCCGACGCAGCCGTCCCCATACGAATCATGTTTAGACTATCTCTTGAAGACATGTTTCGATTATTCTTAGGCCATGGTCGAACAAAAATCGTCCCCAGACTATTTTGGGACATTCCTCCTGCAGAGGGACATTGCCCGACCTGAGCGCCGCCCCCGAGCGCAGGGCGGGCTGGGGGGCGCTTCACGGTCGACCCAGCCGCTAGGAAAGGGCATCTTTTGCGCCTCGGATCTGCTTTTTGGGGGTGGGGGGGACTCCCCTGATCGAAGAAGAGCTTTTTTCTTAGAAACAACTTTTTTAGAAAACAAGCTATGAACCTAAATTTTCAAAATGTAGAACAACGACAAAACGCTTAGAGCACATGTTTCTAGAACAACTCTCTAGAGAAAATATTGTAGCGCTTTCTATTAGAAGAAAAGCTATCAACATAAAGTTTTGGCGCTCCGCGCGGACTTCTCGGATCCGCGCCGGGCCCCCCCCGAGCAGCGCCTCCGGCGCCGCCCCTGGCGCGCTGCGCGCGCCCGGCAGGGGGTCCAGCGTGGATCCGAGAAATCCGCGCGGAGCGCCAAGAGTTTGTGTTTATGCCGTTTTTTCTTCCTCCAGAGTGGGCATCTTTTGCGCATCGGATCTGCAGTTTGGGGGGTGGAGGGGGACTCTTCTGGAGGGAGGGAGGACCTGACGCGCCTGGTGGCCCCGGTCGGCGGACATAGTCACGGCGATCATGGTTGAGTCGTCCCTTCGCACCGCCAACGAAGATCAAGAGGCAAAGAAGGCGTGGGACAACATCAGAAGGAAGAAACTGATGCCCAAGCTCAGAAGTATATTCCTCGCCCTGGACACGAGCGGCGATGGAGAGGTGGACCTCAGCGAGATCCTGAACGCCCCGCCGGAGGTTCGGGAGGCCATGCAGCACATAGTGGGCCTGGACGAGCTCGAGGAGCAAAAGGGGGGGGACAAAAACAAATAGGATTAAGTCGGGCCTGTCCCTCCACAGGTTGGACTATTCAAAAATAGTAGAAAAATAGCCTGGGGATGATTTTTTGACTATTTCGAACATTGTTGGAAAATGTTTTGAGAATTTGTTATGTTTCGCCCAAAATCCCCCTGTACGGGGACATGCCCGACCTAAACATAGGAACAACATAGTCCCCCCTCTCTCTCCCCCTTGCCCTCCTCCCAAGCACCCGACATCAAGCCCCACCTCTTCAGTTTCCATCCTCCACCCTCGACCTCCAGCAAGCATTTTTCTCGGGTGTTGCCAGAAGTGCCCCTGGCCCAATGTGCCCCCAGGATTTCCAAGGAGGCCCTCACGGCCTCCAGAGCACCCCTGACGAGGCCCAGAGGGCCCCAAGGGCTCTAAGATTGAGGGAAAAGCTGGGGGCACCTTGGGCAAGGGGTACCACTAGCACCCCCCCGAGCTTTAACCTCCGCCTTCCACCTTCCGTGGCCCAGTCTCTAGCTGCCGTCGTCCCGCTCCGAGGCCGTGGAGCGACATGCGCAGTGGCGAGAGTGAGGCGACTCGGACACCGACGCCGGACCACGAGCACTTCCCCCCTTCGCCCACCCCTCTCCTACCTCCACACGAAGACTTCGACCAAGACCACTGAGGGCTCAGGCCCACCCACGCTGGCCCTATGCGCCCCGCGGTTCGGCGGACACCTGCGCGCTCGCTCGCTCGCTCCCTTCTTTCTCAGCCGTTCCCCCTCCGTTCCCCCATCCTCTGCCCCACAGTGGGGAGGAGGAGGAGGATGTGGATGATCGGACCAGCTGTCATCTTGAGGGTGTCCTAGAGGAGGTGTTCCAGTTGTTGGACTACGACGGGAGCGGCAGCATAGATATCGAAGAGTTCGTGGAAGGAATCATGCGCTCGCAGGCGGCCGAAGAGGGGGAGTGAGGAGGAGGAGGACGAGGAGGAGGAGGAGGAGGAGGAGGAGGAGGAGGCGAGGAGGAGGAGGAGGAGGCGAGGAGGAGGAGGAGGAGAAGGAAGACGAGGAGGAGGAGGAGGAGGGAGGAGGAGAAGGAGAGGAGGAGGAGGAGGAGGAGGGGAGGGGAGGGGGAGGGGAGGAAGAGGAGGAGAAGGAGGAGGAGGAGGAGGAGGAGGAGAAGGAGGGGGAGGAGAGGGGGAGGGGAGGAGGGGAGGAGGAGAAAGGGAGGAGGAGGAGGAGGAGGAAGACGAGGAGGAGGAGAAGGAGGAGGAGGAGGAGGAGGGAGAGGAGGAGGAGGAGGGAGAGGAGGAGGAGGAGGAGGAGGAGGAGGAGGAGGAGGAGGAGGAGGAGGAGGAGGAGGAGGGGAGGAGGAGGAGGAGGAGGAGGAGGAGGCGGGGAGGAGGAGGAGGAGGAGGAGGAGGAGGAGGAGGAGGAGGAGGAGGAGGAGGAGGAGGAGGAGGAGGAGGAGGAGGAGGAGGAGGAGGAGGAGGAGGAGGAGGAGGAGGAGGAGGAGGAGGAGGAGGAGGAGGAGGAGGAGGAGGAGGAGGAGGAGGAAACGCCCTGGGCTGGGCCTTCGTGCCGCACCGGCGGCCCTCCGCCCGCATGGCGTGGTCCGTACGTCCACGACAGTTGTCTTGACACTTGCCTTCAATTTGCTTGGTGAGCCCTTGGGCGCCATCAACTATCAGGCGATCGCAAGCATGGATCAAGGGGGCGTGGATTAGCGACGGGTCCCGTTTCCATGGGAAATCGCGGATTTCCGCCGCCGAGCGAGGCGGCACCGGGCGCATTTTGGGGAGGGCACCTCTCCCGATCCACGGATTTGGCGACCGCGCGCCAAATCCATGGATCGCTAATCCATGCTTGTGCGCCCCCGAAACTAGCACCACATGAGGCGTTCCACAAGAAGCGCCTCGCCTTCGAGGATCGAGGGAGCTGCCATCCCTTCCGCTGCGGAGGGGCGGTGGAAGGTCGGCGGCAGTACATCGAGGCCGCCTCCGCTGGCGGAGGCCGGCGGAAGGCTGGCGGAAGGCGGCGGAAGTAAGAGATGCGCCCCCAAGAGAAAACGTTTTTGGGTTCAGGTTTTCCGAAATCGCTCATACTGCGAAGGCCTTACGGTCGGTGAGCTCTTGGACACCATCAACAAGCACCACTTGTGGAATCCAAACCCCGGGTAGTGGAGCGCCAGAAGGCCGTCCAAATGCCTTTCAAAAGAGCTCTGGAAGCTCTTGGAAGGAGCTTCCGAAGGAGCTTCTGAGAGTTTCCGGGCACACGCATTGGGAAACAATGAGAGAAGGCCTGCGGGGACACAATGCAGGGTCACAGAAGGCGAAGCGGTTCAACTATAGCACCATGTCGCGAAGGCCTTACGGCCGGTGCCGCCGCCGACCCTGAAGGGAGACGACGACGACGACGGCGACGACGACGACGACGACGACAAGAGCGGCGGCGGCGACGACGACGACGATACTGACGTAGGCCAGAGTCCTCAGGGATGCTCCTTGGGGTCTCTTCGGAAGGCTCTTGGGGGCCTCTGGGGAGGAATTCTGGGGCCTCTTGGGAGCCTCTTTTCGAGGCCTCTTCGGGCTTCTGGAGACCTTATGGGCCTCTTGGAGCCTCTTGGGAACCTATTGGGGCCTCCTGGGAGCCTCTCGGGGCCGAGGGCTCAACATGTCCGTTCGGGTACCCCGTCTGGGCATGCTCTTGGAGACGTCTTGGAGTAGTTTGGGGGTATCTTGGGGTCCTCGTGGGCTGCTTGGGAGCCCTCTTGGAGGCCTCTTGGGCCGTCTTGTAGCGATCTTGGGAGCCTCTTGCGCCGTCTTGGAGCGGCAGAAGTGGAAAAGGCGAGAACGCCCCCCCCCCCCCAACCAACACACACACACACACCACACAACACACAACACACAGCACACAACACACAACACACAACACACAACACACAGCACACACCAAACAACAAACAACGCACAACACGCAGCACACAGCACACAACACACAGCACACAACACACAACACACAACACACAACACACAATACACAACACACAACACACAACACAACACACAACACACAATACACAACACACAACACACAATCACACAACACAACACAACACACAACACACAACACACAGCACACAACACACAGCACACAACACACAACACACAGCACACAACGCACAACACACAACACACAACCCACAACACACAACACACAACACAACACGGAACACGCAACACAACACACAACACACAACACACAGCACACAACACACAACACACAACGCACACACACAACACAACACACAACACACAGCACACAGCACACAACACACAGCACACAGCACACAACACACAACACACAACACACAACACGCAACACGCAACACGCAACACGCATCACGCAACACGCAACATGCAACACACAACATGCAACACGCAACACGCAACACGCAACACGCAACCCGCAACACACAACCCGCAACACACACACACACACACACACACACACACACACACACACACGCACGCACGCACGCACGCACCCACTCGCGCACGCACGCACGTACACGCACACAAACACACACACACACAAACAAACACGCACGCACACACAAACACACACACACACACACACACGCACACAACAAGAAAACATAACATCAATGAGCTGGACATCTTGGGGCCCCCTCGGGAGTGCTTTTTGGGCGTCCTGGAGGTCTCCAGGGCAGTCTGGAGGGCATGAAGGCGTTTTGGACCGTTCGCTTGGCGATTGGTGACCCTCTTGGACCGTCTCGGGGGCCCTTGGGGCATTCTTGGCATGTCTTGGTACTTCCTGAGGCCCCAGGACCCCAGGGGGGATGCGTATCTGACCCCCCCCTACCCCCGGGACCCCCCGCCGGGACTTCCCCGGGAACTCCCCCCTTACCCCCCCCTCCGACGGGGCTTCCCTTCGACTCGATTACGACATTACGGCATTGCTGGATTTTTCTCTCGCTGACAAGCTTGGGGAGGAGGGTGCAGGGAATGGGGACGACGGAGACGACGACTGACGGAGACGGCGACTCGAACAGACAAGCCCCTCACACACTTTCCGTAGCCATTTTGGCTCAAGATTTTTATGGTCTCACTGTGGCCGGCACTGCTTCAGTGGCAATTGCTGCCGTCGCTCGCCGTGCTTTGAGCAGGGACCGACCGTCCCGGCATTCCTATAGCCCTACCACGAAAAGTTCTTAGAACCCACAAATGTTCTAAGAACAAAGACAATGCTCTTAGAACATAAACTCGATGTGTCAAAACAAGACAATCTCAACCAGAAATATTCTAAGAACATTTTGCGGAAACCACAACAGGTTCTTAGAACATTGTTCGGTAGGCGAGCCAGGACGCTTCGCCACTGCTTGAGTGCTGGCCAGGGCTGCGCCGACATGCCCGCGCTCGTGGGCCCGCGCGCGGGACGCCGAGCAGTGGGGCATGGTTTGGCGTTGTTGGGCGTCGCCGCGATGGCTTTGCTGCGCTGCTCGCCAGCGCAGTCCACGCCGGGGATGCCGCGCCAGGCGCCACAGAGCGGCCCGCCGCCCTACGAGCCCCAGCGCTGCAGGTCCGCTCCGCCGCACTACGAGCCCCAGCGCTACGAGCCCCGCCGTACGGCGAGGCCCGCGGAGCGCATGGAGGAGCACCCGCTCGCCTCCGAGGGGCCGCTGGCGGCGCTCCCGGGCGAGGCAGGGCTGCGCCGGGGCCAGGCGGTGGCGCCGCGGGGGGGCGCTGGGCTGCACTGGAGGCTGTCCGAGGCCATGGTGGACCGCCAGCACCGCCTCGACTCCGGAGAGTGGGATCCCGCGCAGATCGGGCTCTTCGCCAGGGAGGTGGGAGAGGGTGGCCAGCGCCAGTTCTTCGTGGACACCTTCGCAAAGTTCAGCATGGACATCGCCGCGCAGCCGCGCGGGAGCCACCTCTACGAGGTGATACTGGAGGACCGGCCCTGCTGGCTCTACTTCGATCTGGAGTTCAAGAAAGGTGCGAACCCACAGCTGAACTCCAACGCGGTTATGGCGCAATTCCGCGAAACACTTGCAAGCTTCTGCGCGAAGGAGGGTTTTGTATACGACGAGTCTCTCATGGTCTTCCTCGAGTCGTCCACGGACAAGAAGTTCTCCATGCACGTGATCGGGAAGTGGATCGCGTTCCGTAACAACTTTCAGGCTGGGCAGTTTGTGGAGATGTTCCTGGAGTACGCAAGGGGCTCACAGGAGCTCGGAGATGGGTCTGGCACCAACTTGCTGTTCGTTCGTGGAGATCTTGACGACATTGAAGCGACTGTGCCCGTGGTCGACACCTCCGTATACAGCCGAAACCGCTGCTTTCGCGTTCTGCGCCAGTCCAAGTTTGGCAAGAGCGCCACGCTGGAGCTGCAGGATGGTGGGGGCGTGGTGAGCGAGTCGGACTTGCCTCATTTCCAGGTGCTTCGGACACTTGCCTCGTTCGTGCCCGATGGAACTCCGCTCTGCGAGCACTGCAAGATTCCCGCGGATGCGAGGCATGCACCACAAGTTGGGGTGGTAGTGGACGCAGACGCGAATATGCAGATGTTGTTGAACTGGTTGATGGTAGCGTGGGATTCTATGCGCAGCGAGGCCGAAGGCAACACCTACGGCAGATACCTGCCCACCCGAGTCTCGAAACTTGTCGAGATGGAACGCGGCGTCTACATGGCGAAGCTTTCCAACAACCGCTTCTGTCTTCAGAGGGAGAGATCTCACAAGTCCAACGGCGTGTTCTTTATCATAGACCTGAACAAGGGGACCTTCTATCAGAAGTGCTTCGACCATGAAGACTGTGCTGGTAGGTTCTCGAGGTTCAAGATCCCGGGCGAGTTCCTGCTTTCGTCACATGGCCTGCAGCGACAAGGCCCTGGTATGGGGCAGCTGTAGAGGGCGTGCTGCGAGCAAGTTGGGTCTGATTGCTTCCTGGTCCAATCTCGGGCAAATCTGGGGCACGATGTAGTCGCGCAGGTCGGGGAGCGCCTGCGCGGGCGATCGACTTGCATCGTGCAAGGGTGGGAGGCACGCCCGCCGCGTGGCGGCCGTGGCAAAACAAAAAATCACACACGCCGGCAGGGCCGGCGGATTTCACCCCGCGAAGAGACCTTCAATAGGTTGCGCCATGTGTTGCGCTAGACGCCCCGTTGGCAACCAAATCTTCATGACCTCAGTTGGTCTGCCGTAGGTTGCTCCAGGCACCCCGCGGGTAACCGAATCGGCCGCTGCCCCAGTGGGACAGAGGTTGCGCCAGATACTCCGCGGGCAGCCAAATCGTCAAGTGCCCGGGTGGCTCTGCCACAGCCCTGCGCCACAGGTTGTACCAAGGACCCCTCGGCAACCAGCCCGTCCCTTGCCTCGGTGGGTCCTGCACGGAGTTGCTCCAGAGGTTTCGCCACAGGCCACCCGCGGGCGACCACGTCGTCCGTTTCGGGGAACGCTTACAGCACCCGCTGCCCAGGGGAACGGACCGCGTGTGGTGGGCCCTGGCAGCGCTGCGCCATCGCGTGCTGCATAGGTTGTACCCCGAACGTCTAGGAGAGAAGAAGCACGAGGCGGAGGAGTTGGAGGAGGAAGAGGAGATATCGATAGAGAAGGGGCAGGGCGGGCGTTGAGGAGGAAGAGGAGGAGTATGTTTGACGGTGAGGGTGCTGAATGAATGGGAGGAAGACGGATAAGCATGAAGCGGAGGAGTTGGAGGAGAGTTGGATGGCAGTGACGATGTTTATGATGGGAAGAAGGGGCAGATGAGGAATTGTAACAAGGACGATGATGATGCTGATGCCTGATGCTTATGTTCAATGTCATGCTCACGATGATGCAGCTGTAGATGACAATAGGAGTAGCGAGGAGAAGGATGAGTGGGTGGAGGGAATGGGACGGGGACGGACGGGGCGAAGTGGAGGAGAAGGAGGAGGAGGAGGAGAAGGAGGAGAAGGATGATGGGGAGGATGAGGATGAGGATGCTGCTGCTGCTGCTGCTGATGATAATGATAATGATGATGATGATGATGATGATGATGATGATGATGATGATGATGATGATGATGATGATGATGATGATGATGATGATGATGCTGATGCTGATGCTGATGATGATGATGATGATGATGATGATGATGATGATGAATGAGGATGAGGATGAGGATGAGGATGTGATGCTGATGCTGATGCTGATGCTGATGATGATGATGATGATGATGATGATGATGATGATGAGGAGGAGGAGGAGGAGGAGGAGGAGGAGGAGGAGGAGGAGGAGGAGGTGTGGATAAGGAGGTGGATACGGAGGTGCATGTGGAGGAGGCGGAGGTGTGGGGGGGAGAAGGGGAGGAGGAGGAGGAGGAGGAGGAGGGGGAGGAGGAGGAGGAGGAGGAGGAGGAGGAGGAGGAGGAGGAGGAGGAGGAGGAGGGAGGAGGAGGAGAGAGGAGGAGGAGGGATGGAGGAGGAGGAGGAGGAAGGAGCAGGAGGAAGGAGCAGGGAGGAAGGGAGAATGACGAGGAGGAGAAGCGAGAACGGAGGACTTTATGAGGATGGATGGTGGAGGGTGGGAGGGAGGGAGTAAATAGCAAAGGAGTGAGGGTAGAGGGGAGAAGAGGGAGGGGCTGCCGAGTTGGAGGTGGAAGACAAATATCGGATCGAATGATGCGCTCGCAGGCAGATAAGCCGTCGGAGCTCTTCGTGCTCGTGAAGCAGGGCAGGGCGATCCTGGATAGGCTCAAGGCTGGAAGATGCCAGCTATGCGATGCTATACGTAAGGAGGAGAAGGAGAGGGAGGAGGAGGAGGAGGAAGAAGAGGAGGATGAGGAGGATAAGGAGGAGGAGGAGGAGGAAGAGGTGGAGGAGGAGGAGGAGGGGGAGCAAGAGGTGGTAAACGTTGTTATCGCCCCAGATCCCGCCCCCGGACCTTCCCAAGGGATCGCGGATTCCCAAACATGGACAAACAACTTTCAAACACACGTCACAGGCATCCAACATGATTTGGTTCTCGATCCTCGAGGGTCGATGGCAACACTTAGCAGCAGGAGGGGGCGTAGGAAGAGGAGAAGGAGTAAACGAGGAGGAAGAGGAGGAGGAGGAGGTGGAGGAGGAGGAGGAAGAGGTGGAGGAGGAGGAGGAGGAGGAGGAGGAGGGGAAGCAAGAGGTTGTAAATGTTGTTATCGCCCCAGATCCCGCCCCCAGACCTTCCCGAGGGATCGCGGATTCCCGAACGTTGACAAACAACGTTCAAACACACGTCACAGGCATTCAACATCATTTGGTTCTCGATCCTCGAGGGTCGATGGCAACACTTAGCAGCAGGAAGGGGCGTAGGAAGAGGAGAAGGAGTAAACGAGGAGGAAGAGGAGGAGGAGGAGGTGGAGGAGGAGGAGGCGGAGGAGGAGGAAGGGTAATCTACATCGATGCCAGGGCTGGCCAGGCCCAGCATGAGCCCAGGATTGGTGTGCCGTCGCTCCTGGCCACTGGCCGGGGCCGGGAGGGACGGGAGGGGGGGGAAGAAGGGAGGTCGGAGGTGTGTGTAAGTGTGCGTGTGGTGGGGGGTGATTTGCAATTCGTCTTCACACCCATCGCTCGCATGCTGCGGTTGTATTCCTCCTCCTCCTCATCATCATCATCATCATCACGTGAGCCGTTCCGGCTCAGTGCTTTCTGAGCTTGCCGACGCCAACTTCACAACGGCCTGCGTCGGCGGGCCAAGGTTTTTCAGCTATCGAGTCGCCACGGCTGCAGCAGCATGTCTGGCGATGCTTCCGTGCTTCGAGGCCCTCGCATGCCTCTTTGGGTCTGCTCGCAATGTACTCGCACTGCGAACTGGGCTTGCCGTATCAAGTGTATGTGTGGAGCTGCTGCGCCTCAGCGTGTGGTGCAGGCAGCAAAGAAGAATGGCAAGGAGTGGGAGAAGTCGCCGCCTACCAATGCCCCCAAAGGGCCAGGTGGGCGCTGGGCGGCAGGCCCACCCCCAGATCTCATCCAGCAGGTCACACAAGCCATGGACAAGAAGCTGGAACAGCGTCTCAAAGGGGTACTCAAGGACTCAGCGTCTAAGGGTTGCGCTAGTCATAACAATGCTGCTCCTCGCTCCGAGGATCCTGACGATTTGCGAGCGATCAGAACCGAGTCCTTGGAGAGCGCCCTCAAGCAGATGGATCAGGTCGACGATGCAGATCCAGCCAAGAAATGTTTGCACGAACAGCTACGAGAGGCCCGAGCTGCTCAGAGGAGCAGCAAGCCACCTCTCAAGCAGCACACGAACGCAGCCTTCCGCCTTCAGTCAGCACAGCAGAAGCTTGAGAAGGCGCATGGCGCAGTACAGTCCCAAGGCGAGTTCATTGCGAAGGCACAGCACGCCCTCGCCGAGCTTGTTGAGAAGGAAACCGCTCTGCAGCGAGAGGTCGATGCTTTCGCAGAGGAGCTGCGCAGGACTATGTCCGTTGCGGCGGAGCCTGCACCGCCCCAGTATCCCACAGGAAGTCCTGGATGCGACTGCTGACATCAAGGACTTCCTACAGAACCCGTTTTTCGCCAAGTACCAGCAGCTGCTCAAGGAGGCGGCGATTGCTTCCAGCCCCCCTGCAGCTGCAGTGGACGTGCCACATCCTGGTCCAGAAGGTGATGCTGCTCCCCGTGATGAACCCTTGCCCGAATACGAGGGTCTGTCGCTAGGGGATGTGGGGAAACTGCTCACCTTCGCCGGGGGGCAAACGCCAGTTCGAGGAGCAGCTGCACGCCTGGAGGGGTCAAGCGCCCCAAGGTGCAGCATTCCTGTCTCCCTTCGATGCGATGGAGAGCCTCGGCCTGCGACATCGTCCCCGCCCATGCCGTGCCTGCGTGGGTTTCCCGTGACACGTGCGGGGCAGGTGGCTCCGCAGCTACAAGGTTTTCGAGGTGTTCCCACAAGTGATGATGATGATAAGGTGCAATTTCTCAAGTTGTTCAATGGCAATTGTCGGGCTACCTTCCTTGATAGACTGCATGCTTCAGATTCGCTAATTGTTCGTGCGCAGGAGATTGGCGCAGCGGAGACGGCAGCTGCTGATCTACAACGTGCAGCTCGAACGCTCTGATATCGTATGTTACGCAGTCCTCCATGTGAGCTTGAGCGCGGCTCACACTCTGTGGGAGTTGCTGCCTTCGTCCGCATGGAGTTGGGGTTGAGATGGAAGCCAGCAGGGGGCGAGACCATCAAAGGACGACTTATCTCAATGAAGGCGGATGTGTTTGGTTGGCCTGAGCTCGCAGTGTACTCTGCAGATTTGCAGTGTGCGGTAGGCCTTGGCGAGGCAAACACGCATCTCCTCAAGATGCTAGGCTCGAGTGTTGCCAAAACGTCTGGCTCCATTCTGGTAGGTGCTGATTGGAATGTTGAACCTCCGGCGGTTGAGGAGTCGGGCTTCACTCGCAAAGTTGGCTTGATCGCTGTGGTGCCTGCCCGCCGTGCATGCATCGTGTCGAGCACGGCGGCGACCATGGATTCTTTTTTTGCGTCCGCATGACATGGCGCGAGTTGTTGACAGGGTGCGTGCGCCTCAGTCGTGGCATGGAGGCCCGCGCAAGCCTGTCTGCTGATCATACGGCGCGTGCTACTGAGCAGGATAAAGTACCAGCGGCCCGGCAGAAGCTCAACCATGCGTGGATTGTCTTCCTGAGAGATGCGGAGATGGAGCTCTCAGATGTCTTGGACTTCCCGCTGAAGGTGGCCACCGGAGATCGGTGCTTGGCTAGGCGATGGGTTCCAGTCCTGGGAAGAAAGTTTCATGCTACTGATGACGTTCACGTGCGTCGCGGATGGCAACGGTTACATCGAGTATGGCAAGAATTGGAGACCACCATGAAGGAGGATCCCGCGCTGCAGTCCAACGTTGCAGGCCTCTTACTCCATCAAGCGTGTATGTCGGAGGACTATCCAGGTGAAGGACTGGATGTTCGACTTGGCGCGCAGGTGCAGGCCTTTGTGCGATGTTGAGTATCCATCGCAACTTGCACATCGGTGGTGGGGCCGCGCCTCCACTTTCGCTGAGTGCATGATCATGCATGATCACGCAGTTCGAGTGTGCCACCACCGCTGCCACGAAGCTGCGCACTTGGATGGTTTCCATCCGAGGCACATATGTATCTTGGAAGATGCTGGCATATCCGCCCTCAGCGCACCATATGAAGCGGTGGGACGGCTCGGCCTCTTCCCGCGACATTTCACGTGGATGGTTTTTCCGCTGATCGATAAACCTGCAGGAGATCATCGCGCCACTCCCTTGCCGGATAGTTTTGCGCGCGTTCGGGAGAGGCTTCGCCGACCCATGCCGGGCCCCTTCTTTGCCGACGCGGAGAGGGACTACTGGGCTTTTGGGGCTGTCAAGGGCGCTGGGGCGCGCGCGTGGGCCCAGGCGGCCCTTTCGGAGGTCGCGGAGTCCAGAGGCCAGGTCGTCTTGGGAGCCCAGTGGGATGGGAAGAAATACTACGAACCCTTCAGTTAGACCTCCTACGTGATAGAGCTTATCGACAAGGTATCCCTAAGGCCATGGTGAAGATGATTTACAAGTTGTGGAGGTCCCCGAGGCTCCTCCGTCTTGGTCCAGCATTCCACACTGTGGTCTATTTTGCATCCAGCGGTCTCCCTGCAGGAGATAGTTTCAATGATGCCTCCGTGAAGGTTTATGCGATGGAGGCCTTCGATGCTTTCACGTTAAGACATCCGACGATTTGCCTATCCTTGTACACCGACGATGACACGATATTGGGGATGGGGCAGAAAGCTAGCGTATTGCGAGACGTACCCGAAGCATCAGCGCATGTTTACATTATGTCTAAGCAGGAGCTCAAGGCTGACATATCGGAACCGAAAGCCACGACGGTGGCCAGCTCGGTCCCTTTTGCAAAATCCTTGGCTCATCAGCTTCGCCATCGAGGATTGCCTGAAGGTGTAGTTACATGGGCTTCGCCCAACCTCGGGATCGATTTCGCTCCTGGACAGACTCGTTCGACCAAGGGTGCGCCTCGTAAAAAACGGTTTCGATTTCGACAATTCAAGCTTCGACATATTCGAGCTTCGCGCTTTTAGGAGGTGGCTAGCTCACGGAAAGCATCGCATGTCTAAGATTCACACTGTTGGTTTGCAACCAGCCCTTGCCCATGGCAGCGCGGTGCCCGGCATGGGCACGTGCGAGCTGAGTCGAGCTCGCGCGGCGCTGCTCAGTTCCAAGTCGCCCCCCATCGAGGGGCCGCTCTTGTGGCAAAGTGCGCGTGCCCCACGGCGACCCCGTTGCAGGCGCTGCTGCGGCGCCCGCGGCGCAGCGGGCAATCGCTCTGTCGTCGACGGCTATTGCGAAGGAGCGATCTCTTTTCACGATGTTGCAGCTTGAGGATATGTACCGCATCGTTCATGACAGATGGGACCCTGAGCTACCTCGGGGGGAAAACGAAGGGCCCGGTTGCCAGAATGTTGCCGCGCCTCCAGAGGGCCAAGTGGGAGCCCGAGAATTTCCCGGAGTGGATCGATGACCGAGGGATTGAGATATCGCTTCTATACACATCACCCTCTCTTGTGAAACCTCTATTGCGTGAAGCTACGCAGAGACAGCATGAACGTGACATGGCGCGCAGCGTAGGCATGCATGGTGGCACTGTTAGAGCGTGTGCTGAATTAGTGTGCACGTGCGTGTGTAGGGCTAAGAAGTATAGTGCACGTCAGAAGTATGCTATAGCGAGTTGTTTCATTAAGGCTGTTG